AGCGACTACGGATAAGCTGGCTCGAGTCAGCCGATCTGAAAAGACAAGCGTAACAGCAACGTTGCAATGCCTTCTCGCTGCGTCACTCTTCACCTGCCTCTCAGCAGAAGACTGTGAGAGGCTTCACATTGACGGCCCGATATCGATAAAGAAATTTCTTAACGTGGAGGAACAGCAGATGACCATGACGATTGCCGAATATGCCTACCTTCACGAGCGCGTCGCATCTCGAGAACCCAAACTCAAAGATTCAGCAGGACTGAGTGTCTTACAGCAGTTCTCATGGGACACTTCACGCGCAGTGAAATCCACCATATCCACAGAAGTCGCCAAATCTGGCGTCGATAACCCCGTTGCGCTGCTGAAATACATCTCTTCTATGCAGCAACATTTCCTCGACCAATTAGGTAAGCCTCGCAAGTCTGCAGCAGAACTGTCCAGTGCAGGAGTATGGAAGCATACTCAGAGTGAAGGAGTATGGACTGTCGGTCGGATGGTGTTCAGCCAATCTCCCAATATTGTGGCCAATGCTTTGAAACTCAATGTTGTAACAGGTGGCGATGGAAACGCGACGTTGAACTTCTGCTGGGCTGAGGATGCCGTGGAAGAGCAGCTCATGCGTGATATCATCGAGGGAGTTAGAACTGGGATCGAAGATCTAGTAGAAAGGAGCCAGGAGTAGATAGCATAGTTGCATGTTGGAGGCGGCTGTATTGAGTCTTATCCGCTGGTCTGCGTAGTAATGATAGTTTCAACGCATGTGCACCAATGAAGCGCAAGGATAATCCATAATACGCCCTTCCGGGCGAACACAAAGAGGGTATGGGAAAAGTCCACGGGCTGTCCTGGGTTGGAAGCCTTATAACAGCACTTCCCCTGTGAGCCGAATCACATACCGCTTCCGTGTTCAGCAGCGACGCCACAAAATAAAGCGACTAAGAGTCATCATACGATTCGGCAAGAAATAGTACTTCCAAGAAGAAAACAGGTATATAAGCATCAACTCCAACGCCAAATACCCCCCTAGTACATACAATTGAAGCACATGAGCCTCATGCAGCATGCCGAGGCTACTGAATCCAACCCTGAAACGCGGAACCATGCCAACACATCTGTCACTATTGTCGCTTCATATCCGTCGTTCCCTACTTGCTTCCTCTTCGATATTCCCAGACTTCCTGCCCTTGTCCGTTCGCGTTCGCGCCTGAGCCATAGTATGTGGCATATGCTGCGTTCATGCCCTCATGGTGCTCTTTCGCGTGGCGCTTGATGGAGTTCCAGAGGCCCCGAGCTTTGCTCGGTTCCTTCAGTGTAGACGCAGATGACGAAACAACAGACGTTGATGATGAAGATGCCTGGACTGGTGTCTTGATGTATTCGAAAGAAGTGCGAGGAGTCGTCGCGGAAGAGCCTGACATCTTCGATATACGAGAACTTGGGCGTGTTTCTTTCGATTCAGATGGCTCTAGAGGCGGTGTAGTGGTGTATGTATGCGCCTTGCTCGATACGCCGATGTCGATGCCGATTTGAAGCTTGTGTGTCGAGAATGATGGCAAACGTACTCGTTTGATTACTGTGGATCAGGGTGCTTTGTCGTTTCTGTGGGACTGGTACCAAATCTGTCGGTTTGTTTGAGCCCACGTTGTAAGAAGAAGAATGTGCTGGTAATGTCTAGATCACTCCAGCTGCGTACAACACCATCTTTATACTCACCCCACAGCTCAGGCCACTGTACCGATTCAGACATCCGAGAATCGCACACCCTATGACTCCAAGGACCAACATGACTTTGCCGTCGCAGTGCTGACTGTTTCGGTAATTGACCTGAAAGGCGTGGGAGGCTTGTTTCAGCGGCTTTGCTTGTCGAAAGCATGACCATACGCCTGAGAGGCGCAATGTGGAGACAGTTTGACGCCAGCATTGCGCCAGATGGGTCCAATGGGAGACTTGCGCTGGAGCCACTTTCTCCCGGAATACGCTAGTGCATGTGGACTTCCCGACGGGTAGCAAAGAATGCGCGGTGCGAGTGTTGTACTCCTGAGGCACGGGTGTAAAAGGCTAGTCGTACGAGAGCCAGGTCACATCGACACATGCCAACGACGCCGCAGGGTCGCGCCGTACGTTTCTGAAGCTCTTGTTGGTAATCTGTCTTGCATGGTGTACAGGTTGGCTTGCGTAAAGAGCGGAACAGGGTCATTGGGGTGTAGGGCGTGCGTCTTGTGCACAGGCGCGATCCAATAGCTGGAAAGTGGGGCTGGCGCGTCCTAGTGACGAACGCGCGCGCCCTGTACATGTCAATCGTCGGTGGCCGAAGCCGCTGTATGAATGCGATGCACGTTGAGCCTTGCGATCTCAGCAACTCGACCGTGCTTGGGGTAGAAAGTGCGGTCCATGTCAATTGCGCAACGTTGACAACAGCCTTATTGCGGCACAAAAACACATCAAGCGGCACAGAAGCATACGTGGGAACGTCAGCGATGAATAACATGATTTTGGACTATCGAACACCTGATTTTATGTCTAGGGCTTAACAACTGTCTGCCACGGAAGTGTATTGTCGAAGAAAAAGGTTGCTTTTGGCTGTGCCGCAAGGCCTTCGCCCGTCATGTTGCACAGCTTGGTCACGTCACCGGCCTCTGCACGCTTCGCCTTGATGATATCTTGGTACTGAGACAGGGGGCAAGATGAGCCAGGACCACTGGTGCAGTCCACAACAGGGTAGACAACCTCGTTAATGCGGATGCGCACGAAAGTTTCTTGAGAGGCGGTGCCGTTGTAGTTGGTTGCATAGCCAGAGCCGTATGTGCTATTGTGGGCAGCAGCAGGACAAGAGAGGCGTTCGAATGCAACAGTTCCGCGCATCTTCACGACCTGAGAGGAGCGGAAGAGTCGGTCCGACAACGACATGTTACCAGGAAGCTGCTGTTGTTTGTCGAAAACACCGATCGCAGCGGCCAGCTGGTTGATTTGGCCATCATTTGCGAAATTGGCCATGATCTTTGGAGGGACAAAAGTGCCATTGCCCGTCTTGTAGGTCGCGTCTGGACCATCAACAAAGCGTTGCACAGTCATGTCAACGATAGGCAACATCTGGTATTTCTCGATATCGGATCCCAGGCCGGTGCCGTACCAATAACGCAAATCCTGCGCATACTCGTACTGCAAGATCTCTTCCTGTGTGAAGATATCGCAAAAGGGGCTTCGACGGCCGGTGATCTGGGTCTCGAATCCACACAAGTAGGGTATCTGGTCGACTTGACTCGTTGTAAGGTTCAGGCCTTGGATCTTCCCGTTGAGCCTGGCGGCAATCGGGGGAAGGTACATAGAGTCCCACGTCTCTTTGGCAGGGCCTCCACCTGCGTCATCGTAGGCCTTGCACAGGTCGCTGGGAGCAAGAGTGTTGCCCCAACTGGCAGGGTCGCTCGCGTTGAGAGCATAGATTGTAGTGAGGTCTGTAGCGTTGGGCCCCACGAAACCTTGAGCGAACAGGCGTGCGCTGTCCCGAACGCGTGGACCAGACGTATAGTAGTTTGCCCACATAGTAAAAGCGGTGTTGTACTTGTACAGGTCGGGGTAACGAAGGCGCCACGCTGTACCCATCTCGTGTAGTTCTTTCCAGCCGGTCGGGCTCAGATTAGCGATTTGAGCGTCCGGGTCTGAGAGGACCGGCTTCCAGGATTTGAGGAACGCGAGTTTCTCGTCGGTGATGGTGATGTCTCCGGCAGCTTGGAAGTAATTGGCAAATTCAACCCACCCATTGTAGGCGCCACTATAAAGGTAAAGAGACAAAGTCAGCCTATGCCTCATATACAGCGCGTGCAGTAGTTACCGGTCTGGGAACCGCGAACCGTGACGGGAGAAGAAAGCTATGTGTTCTTAGTCTGGCATTCTTCAATCGCGGAATCAAGCTGCCCTACCTGCCAGATCGACCTTGCATCCTGTAGGTATATCGGACGAAATGCCCGTCACCTCTTCGCCGGGGAACCATTGTCCGTTGCCGCCGATATGCTGGAAGACATTGAAGTTGTCTTGGGCTGCAACAGCAGCACTGCTAGCGGCGAGAGAAAGAGCAAGAAGCTTCATGATTACCGTTAGGGAATGAGGGACGCTCCGAAGTGCAGATAAGAATAGAGCGCACGCCTATCATCTTTATACCCGACATGTTGATTGATCGTGGTGTTGTCAAGTTCAGCACCTGCTTTAGCCTCGGAGATGAGTTCTGGCGATGCTTCCTAAGGCGGTAAGGATGCTCAGGAACCAGCTGCACGTGGGAGCATCGACGGCGTGGGTGGTCTCTTCGCATGGAGGCGCGGTCTGCCACAGCGGCCAAGGAACTCCATTGTAGGATGCAATCCTTCGCGCATGCGAAATACGGTGGTTTCGACCCGAGCTTCGCGTGAATTGCGGTTGACGTAGGTTGATAGCAGTGGATGACCATGCATTTGTCGCCCTTCGGAGGTGCATGCTCCGATTAGTCACGCCTTATCGATACCGCACCCGCGATCGCGGCATCTGACTGACTCAATCTTCAGCTATCTTTGCCAATAACACACCCGTAACGATGCACGTCTCCATGCCCCCTCGGTGACTATCCGAATCAAGCTCTTCTCAGCACTTCTATCCATCAGATCATGGCTGAATCCAAGCCGCGTCAACGCAAATTCGCGCCAAGGTCACGGACGGGCTGCCTTACATGCCGAACCCGGCGGAAGAGGTGCGATAGCGCTCAGCCTCAGTGTGCGAACTGCAAACGCCTCAACCTGTTATGCGAATGGCAAACTCCTCGAAGTATCGTTTCGGAATCGTCTTCGTCCCAGTCAAGCTCAAAGAGCCCGGAGCGCCAGGTCGCAGTTCCACTGCGCTCGTCTCTTGATCCGTGGGATGCATTGCCGGGCGACGAAGGAGCGGAGCGGATGCATCTATTGCAGTATTACATCGAGGCGTTTGTACCCAGTGTTCAAGTAGCACCCATTGCAACCAGCTTTTACACCAGCCTCTACATGCCTTGGTCTTTCCAGATCGAAGGTATGCTTGACGCTATTCTGGCTATATCTTCTGCTCAGTTGGCGAGGCGAAGTCAGGACGCAGACCGCGCCAAACACCTTCGCGCCGTATCCTCCCGCCACGAGAGGAAGTGCTATCAATTCATCAAGGAGCGCTTGAACCCGTCGGGTGGATTGCCAGAAGATACCTACCAGGTTACTGCGGTGATCCTCATCCTGGTAGGACTAGAAGCACTCAATGGTGTCAAAACTACGAGATGGATATCGCAATTGAAGAGTGTGCAACGGATACTTAGTGCGCTTACTCCGGAGCAGAGCATCATGGACTGTGTTGAAGTTGATTCCCTGCATCGACACTTCACTTACCACTTCGCCTCTGCTTCGCTCATGGCGCGGGTGTCAAACGCCGGAAAGGCCTGTTCGGCAGAGCAGGGCTTGATACCAATCAGCGCCGCCCTAATGCCAGGCACAATCGACCCGCTCATGGGCATCTCATACCAGCTATGCGACCTGATTTCACGGATACAGTATGTCACCTCTTCGAGTCCCGCGTTTCCCCTCGCTACCGAAGCGTCTTTCAACGTGATCGAGAAGGGTATACAGAATTGGGCTTACGACAACCCGTTTGCACTTGGCGTCGATACTCCTATAGCTCTCGACCTCATTGCCTTGGCAGAAGCCTACCGTTTAGCAGCTCTCATTCAGCTCTACCGCACCTCGCCTAGCCATTCAGCCAATATTGCGGGTTGTGCATCACGCGCGATGGAGTTTATCGCTCGTATACCACCGGGAAGCGCCGCGGAGTCAAGTTTGCTCTACCCAATATTTCTCGCTGGAGCCGAGCTAGATGATGAAGCGGCCATCGAGAAGTGCTTCCAGAGGCTAGAGGATATCCAGAATAGGAATCGGTACGAGAACGTTGAATGTGTCCAAAAGGTGTTGAAAGAAGTGTGGCGACCGAAGCTTGAAGGTGGTCAAAGAAGGGACTGGGAAGAAGTTGTAAGAGAGTGGAACTGGTCATTTACTTTGGGTTGATGCGATCCCGATGCAACTCTCCTCAGAAGCACCTTTTGCCCCGATCAAATGCTACGCTCTGGCGGGATGCCATGCGTACGTACCGGCTTGGAACCTCGGACATATCCGCTGTAAAGGAGCACTCATCGGCTCACTCATGATCAATGCCTCACTCAACGCCAATCTAAAATTCGCCCGGGCCGGGTGTGTTTGGTGATGGAGTAGCTCCTTCCCCGCATGACATACTGTATCTTGGCAAACCCCGCCTCCTCCTGCAGCCCCCATCGAGATGTCGAACTTTGCCCCGATTTGCTCGCATGTGTCTCTTTGGGCAACCATGGGATTCTCAGCTGTGCCCAGCGTCACTGATTGCTTGGCCACTTTCCCCGCTTTGTAGCCTCTCGCTATCCACCTTTGCATTCTACTGCGTAGCGTCTGCGCGACGTCGATTCTTCACTTATCTACCAGGCGATTGCGTTCGACTGAGCATCGTTGTTTTACGCCTATAACCTTCTACGTGCCACTCTTTGATCAACATGGCGAACACCGCTACTCCAACCATGGCCACTCCCATCGACTTTAACAATGTGCTGGATACATCCAACCTCAAAGATCGTTCGGTACTTATCACTGGTGCAGCATCTGGCATTGGTCTAGCCTGCGCGATAAAGATGGCCGAAGCAGGCGCAATAGTCACCATGGCTGATCTACACGATACGGCTGGGGGCGTCATCCAGGGTAAGTTCTGGCCGTGCGAATAGCCTGTGATATACATACTAACTTGGTACTCCCACTTCTACAGATCTAACCACTCGAGGCCTCAGAGTGCAGTTCGTACAATGCGACGTGGCATCCTACGAGGATCAAGCCTCCATGTTCCAGTCTGCAATCATCTTTGGAGATGGGCAGATTGACATAGTGATCCCAAATGCAGGCATCCTTGCCGAGAAGAACCTCTTCGACATGGTGCCAGCCACGTTGCCAAACCCAGGAGACACCCCACCACCTCCTCCAAGCTCTGCTTGCGTGTCCGTGAACCTTCAGGCAGTATACAATACCTGCTATCTAGCACTACATCACTTCCGCCTCCCGCGCGCAGCAGCAACAACATTCAAGCCCAGCATCGTTCTCATCGCCTCGCTTGCAGCCTACATTGGATACCCGTATAGCACTACATACAGCATGTCCAAGTTCGGTGTTCGAGGACTTCTGTACAGCCTACGCGAGCGCGCCATGCACTCTTCGATCCGCATCAATCTTGTTGCACCCTGGTACGTGGATACCGGCATCGCCAAGCAACCCGACTTTGTAGAGGACAACGGCGCTGTTCTTAACATCATAGGATTTGTATCCATGGACAGAGTCGTGGATGCTGTGGTGAGGTTTGCTTCGGTTCAAGAGTTGTGTGGAAGAAGCGTAGGCATCTTCCCCAAAGGCAGCGAAGATCTTCTCGACGATCTGGAAGGTGGATACGGCGGCGCGATAGTGAGTAAACATATGCGCGAGGTTCAAGCAGTCGTCGTGCAGGAGATGCAGAAACAGATGCAAGCGTAGTTTATTGCCCAGTAGACCCGATATGAGAAATGTCTTCGCGATATCGGCTTTGTCAATCACGAGTGTCGACATCACATACTGGTCTAATGTTGAAATCAATCAGAGTCACGCTGATACTCATCCCACAATCTCTGATCGCATGGCCGTGTGGAGAATAGTACGATGTTACCACTGCCATGTGGGCCCGCGTTTGTACAAGCCATCGTACATGATGTACAATGCCTTGCCACCCAACGTAGACATTTTCGCCGCCAGTACTAGATGTGTTTGTGCTTAGCCTTGGTTCACGCACGTAGCCATATGCCTGAGAAGCTTAAGAGAAGCTAGCTTCGGGACGCCGGAAGGGGCGTTTGTGAACGGATGCAACATCGCATCCCTCTGGACAGGCGAGGCCCACCAAGCGATCAACGCAGACCTGTCCATAAAATTTTGTCGGGTCTGTCCGCCTCAACCGTCCGTAGTCTTTCGCCCGCCGGTATGTTGTTGCGCCGTTTGCAATGAAAGCCCTGGGTCGTGTGAGAAATGTTCAAGTATATCTATGCGAAGAGAATGCCACATCGAACAAAACAACAGCATCAAACATGCCACACATCCAAGATCCCCAAATGAAACGAGAACCACGAACCTATATCGACATTCTCGTCGTGGGAGGCGGCATCGGCGGACTCACCTTTGCAATCGAGGCCCACCGCAAGGGACACGATGTGCGCGTTCTTGAACGGAATGACGAAGGTCAATACTCGGGTACGTACCTCCCCATTCAACTATCGACCTCTGCACGAACCAAGCTAACACACCGACAGGTGAGATCATCATGATCACCAGCTCAGCGCTCGAAACGCCCAAGAAATGGCCAGGGTTCTTAGAACGCCTCAGGGCCCTCGCATCGCCACCAACCTTTGACCTGCGCAAATACGACGGCACATTCATCCAACACCATGCCCCTGGCGACTCTGCAAATCCGTCTTTGAGCATCTACCGAAAGAGGCTGCATAGTTTGCTGAATACCTACGTCAAAGAGCTCGGTATACCCATCACGTACGACGCGAAAGTGGATTCATACTTCGATTCAAACACATCAGGCGGTGTTATTCTCAAAAGTGGTCAGAGGATAACTGCAGATGTGGTGGTAGCCGCAGATGGTGTAGGCTCTAGGTCCCGCGAGATCATCGACGGGAATAGAGAGAAGCCGATTAGTTCTGGCTTTGTTGTTTACAGGACTTCTTTTCCTACTGGGCCGGCGATGGACGAGTATCCCCTTGTTGCGAGGGAGTTTCTGGGGCACGATCACCGTGGTTTCATGTATATTGGTCCCGGCGCGCATATGGTTATTTCTCATGACAATGGCGAGCTGTGCTATCTATTGACTTGTAAGGTTTGTAGTCGCTGGTTCATTGGCCTTGTAGATCGTTGCTAACTTCTATCAGGACGAGAACGGTACGGCAACTGAGAGCTGGTCGAAAACCACTTCCACGGATAGGATCCTGGATGTTGTAAAAGATTGGGATCCTTTTGTTACGGAGGTGATCAAGGCGACACCGAACAATCAGGTGCTCGACTGGAAGCTGATGTGGCGCGATCCACAGCCGCAGTGGGTGTCGAAAGGCGGCCATGTCGTGCAGCTGGGCGATGCTGCCCATCCCTTCTTGCCTACGTCGTTCAGTGGCGGCACGATGGCCATGGAAGACGCGTACTCGCTAGCAGCCTGTCTACATGTTGCTGGGAAGCAGCACGTTGCGCTTGCAACCAAGGTGCACAATAAGCTGAGGTATGCCGATATAGATCGTGGAGAAACACCAGCGACTAACTTCGAAATTGTAGGTTTGAGCGAGTATCCTGCGCGCAGAAACTAGGATTCAAGAATCGTGAGATCTTTCACAACACCGACTGGAAAGACGAAAAGGCGGCGCCGACAAAGCAGCACAAGATGGTCGGAGATTGGTTGGTCTGCCACAATCCCGAGAAGTATGTTTACGATAACTACCACAAGTGTGCTGAGCATTTGGACACGGGTGTCGAGTTCTTGAACACGAACATACCGCCGGGATATGAGTACAGACCGTGGACCGTCCGCGGGCTGCTGGGGGCCTCGGAACGTGGCGAAGTGGTTGAGGATGAAGGCGACTGGTCCTAAAGGAAGGGAAGCTTGCAGAATGCAGCGTTATCGCTGTAGCTACTTTAGCTTATCGATTGGCCATGCTGGCAACATCTCTTCTCGATGTATATATATGGGCATCCGGCGGCAACTGTTGATGCTGACTAGAATTGCCGAAGTTCATGCTTCCCTCTGCTTTGTCCTACCTCCGCTCCCTGCGGCTTACTGTCCCGTCGGTTGTATCCGCCAAACTTATAGCATGAGAGCATGTCTGGCTATTGCTTGCCATTGCATAGGCATGTAGCATGCCAGATGCCAACTTGTCATATCCTCTTGATGGATAACCTCGCCATTTTGTCCACCTGCTGCCTCCGAGTCGTGGAAACAGCCAAGCCGCAATTACATCTATTATAACGCTCGAAGAGAACGCGCACATCGCCTCCTACAACGATACCGGCACCTTGGTTGTGGACGAGTGCGGTCGGGTTCCGTTCGAGGAGCGTGGCATCGTGCGCGCGTGTAGGGGGTGCTCTGAGAGCGCGGACTGTGGCAAGGTCGCTTGAAAAGGCTCCAGCCTGCCCGGTGGCGCCAGTTTATGCCCGTGATACGAAACGTGCGTAGGTTCTGGAGCGTACGACGATGATGTTGAGCTTCTCATGGCGGCATGAGGAAAGCTTCGCGATTGCGTGCTGTCGTGTTCCAATACACGTGTCTTCAGCCAATATCCCAACCATCTGTTGTATTGAAAGAAGGCAAGTTAGGCATGATAAAGCTCCCTTCGCGCAAGGATCGCGTGGATTAGGAGTGTTGGTGGATAAACGTCCAATGACGACCAGCTCAACGTCCCCAAATGCCGAGGGATGTCGGAACGCTGCTCGGAACGGCTTGGCCCGGCTTGCCCTCCCATTCATCTAAGCTGCACTCCAACGGCAAGAATCTTAGTAAGACTCGGACATTTCCCATATCAACCATGTGCTTCCCAGCTTCTGACTCAGGCCTGAAGTACTCGCGATATTGGGAAACTTCACCGCCGCGGCACTGAAGCATGACGGCCGATCGCGGAGCTCGAGGCCTTGTCGCTGTAAGTCAACCTCCATCATCCCCAGCGCAACGAAACTGACTGGGTACCTAGATAACAGGCGCAAACGGAACAATAGGCTATGCCTGTGTGGTCTACGCGCTGCAAACTGGCTATCGAGTCCGGTGCATCGTGCGCCGCGCCTCCGCCATCGAAACGATCAAAACCGGGCCCTCTGTGCAGCCCTACCTCGACCTAATCGAATACGTCGCCGTGCCAGACAATGCGGTCAAGGGAGCATACGATGAAGCTGTTGCGGGTGTCGACTATGTTGTGCACATAGCAGGAGCATGG